AGTTTATTGAAATTAGCTCTCTTGAAGTCCAAGACTCTAGTTTGACTGTGTTCTATTGCTTGTGCTTCCATAATGTTGAATTCTAATATTGCATGATCACTTCCTCCCAGGGTTCCTATGGCTTCAACACCTTCTATCATTTCATCTCTGTTAGTGAGAATTAGATCCAAAATGGCTAATCCCCTAGTTCCCTTCTCTAGGGGTATTTTAAAGGGGTTTTAAATTAAAAATTAAAAATTTTTAGTAGTAGCGGCCAAATTTGAATAGTTATTTTTAATCTTTTTTAAATTTTATATTGTACTGTATCATTGTTTTAAACTGGCTGTAAGCCGCCCTGAGTCCTCCGGGAGAAGGGCGGGGTATAAATTTAATAAAATCAAAAATCAAAATCAAATCAAATCTACTTTTTGGGAGACAAAGTTGTCTGCTAGGTTTGCCAGGAACCGGTTTGATCTTCCACTTGGTGCAGAGTTTGTGTCCCAGTTGATGTCAGGGTAGTTAAAGTCCCCCATTACTATTGTGATGTGCTTCCTACATACCTTAGTTAGCTGACTAGCAAAAAGTTCATCTATTTCCTCTATTTTAGGAAAGAAAAACCAAATGCACAGGTATAGCATAGGGGGTACCTTGCTCAATAGTAGTAACTGTGAGAGGGACCTCGGAGTCCTAGTGGACAATCACTTAAATATGAGCCAGCAGTGTGCTGCAGCTGCCAAAAGGGCCAACACAGTGCTGGGCTGCATTAATAGAGGGATAGAATCAAGATCACGTGAAGTATTAATACCACTTTACAATGCCTTAGTAAGGCCACACTTGGAATACTGCATCCAGTTTTGGTCACCACAATGTAAAAAAGATGTTGAGATTCTAGAAAGAGTACAGAGAAGAGCAACAAAGATGATCAGGGGACTGGAGGCTAAAGCATATAAGGAAAGGCTGCTGGAATTGGGTATGTCTAGTTTAATGAAGAGAAGGACGAGGGGGGACATGATAGCAGTGTTCCAATATCTCAGGGGCTGCCACAAAGAAGAGGGAGTCAAGCTATTTTCTAAGGCACCTGAGGGCAGGACAAGAAGCAACGGATGGAAACTAATCAAGGAAAGAGGCAACCTAGAACTAAGGAGAAACTTCCTGACAGTGAGAACAATTAACCAGTGGAACAACCTGCCTCCAGAAGTGGTGAATGCTCCAACACTGGAAGTTTTTAAGCAGAGACTGGACAGCCATTTGTCTGAAATGGTATAGGGTTTCCTGCCTGAGCACGGGGTTGGACTAGATGACCTCCAAGGTCCCTTCCAACTTATTATTATTATTATTATTATTATTATTATTATTATTATTATTATTATTATTATTATTATTATTATTATTATTATTATTATTATTATTATATAAAACATGTCTGCAAGCAAAAATTGGTGAAACCTGAAATTAGATGAATAACAAAAAAATGAAGTCAAAATTCTATTACCATCTTCCCTCACTTCTTTCCTTTTTCCTTTTATATTCTTTCATTTTTAATACTTTGATTGTATTGAAAAATTCTAATAAAAATAGTTTAAAAAGATAAATAGCAGTTTACTTAAAGTTTTTTTTTAAATGTAATATTTATTCCTTGCTTTATTTGGGAGGAACCACCTTATTGTTTTTTTCTCAGTCACTGTTTCCCTTCTTTCTGTCTCTAAAGACCTTTGAAGCCAAAATTCATCATTTGGAAACAAGGCCCTGTAAGAAAGTGCAAGAAGGTTCCCCTGACCTGGAATACTTTGTGCGATGTGAACTCCATTGCTCTGCGCTGAGCACATTCATCAGTTCCCTTAAAAGGGTGTCAGAAGATGTAAGGAGCACCAAAGAAGACAAGTGTAAGAAGGACTTTGTAGCTTATATAATATATTAGGAGCGGGAGATATTGAAGTAGTGGAATCACTGATAAAGGAGAGGGGACTCCTCTTGGGGGAATAAAAGGCATTTCAGGTTAGAGTTGAAATCAAACCCCTAGGCCAGGGATAGGCAACATTGACTCTTTTATGACTCGTGGACTTCAACTCCCAGAATTCCTGAGCCAGCCATGCTGAGGGGAAAAGGAGAGGTTTCCAAGCTGAGCCATGCTGGCTCAGGAATTCTGGGAGTTGAAGTCCATGAGTCATAAAAGAGCCAAGGTTGCCTACCCCTGCCCTAAGCCTATATTTGCCATTTCCCAAGGGAAAGCAGACCGCCTGACAAGATTCTTGTAATATAAGTGATCAACAATCAAAGCTTTTTAGTTGGGCCTGTTCATGAAGTGGTTCTGGTTTGCTTATGCCTGACAATTTCATAAATCACTTTTCAGGTGCTTTTCATTGCAATCTTCTGATTGTTCAACAAAATTTTAAGAAATATATACATCTATTTTCTTCAAAGGGCTATCTAACTTTCCACATATGTTTCTAGACGTGTGAATCTAACTAGTAAATCTTGTTAATTTCACTGAGATCCAGAGGACTACATCCCTGATCTCACAGAACTTCCTGAATGAAGACAACTCCATTAACTCCCTCCCTCCCCAGAGATAAGGTTGGCCTCATCACTCTTCAGCTTCCCTCAAGTTCCCTCAAGACTTGTTATGCCAGCAAGTGAACCTGTGACATGGCTCCCTTGTTATTCATATCACCCCATCTCTTATTCTCTTTCCCTGTTTGAGGTTGCTTTTCTCATTTTTAATTCATTTTTAATCATTCATTATAGAATGGTTTTAGTTAGTGGTTTATTTACTGTTTTTACTGGATTCTTGTTCATCACCCAGAGTCACTTTCTGTGAAATGGTAGCCAGAGAAATCTGATAGATAAATAAATAACCTTAAAAACTGCATGGTGATGGCTATGCTGGCTGTGATTATGAGATTTGAAGTCAAATGCATATGGCAGGGGTCTTCAAACTTGGCCCTTTTATGGCTTGTGGACTTCAACTCCTAGAATTCCTCAGTCAGAGTGCCTGGCTGAGGAATTCTGGGAGTTGAAGTCCACAAGTCATAAAAGGGCCAAGTTTGAAGACCCCTGCCATAGGGATAAGATTAAGTTAAGAAAGGCTATTTTAGATTGTCCAGTAGTAATGATGGATTTGAATGGTCAGAGCCCACCCATCCCCAGTCTGCTTTCTGATGAGCAGATGACAAACACCCAAATCAGAGCTTCTGTTTGATCAGTTTTCCCAGTTCTACTGTGTCTAAGAATGCCTACCCTAATCTTAGACTTATTCTGTTGGAATTCTCCATATTATTCAACAAAAACTTTGGTCCTTTCAGCTAGAGATTTGCATTCTGTCTCTGATTTACATTCCAGTAAAAGAATGGGGGTAAAAAAATGATTATAGAATTACACAGTTATTATGTTATGCTAGAGGAGGTACTACCAGATATTAGCAGATAAATCCAGTTCATGGGTTACTGATATTAATAAAAACAACTATTTTATGTTTCTGCTTTTGATCTTCTTAGATAAAATTCAACATTACTACCATCACCAACTCCATCATATCACTTTGTGGGCTTTCACCTAACCTCCTCTTTCTTATTTTGGATTTCAGTTCATTGGTTTCCAAGAAAAATTTCGGAGTTAGATCTATGTCACCATTTAGTTACCAAATTTGACCCTGATTTGGATCTGGATCACCCAGTAAGTAAACAATTTTTCATTATTTCTTTAGGAGGATAACCTAAATGTTCCATTTTATGAGATAAGAAATTGTCCTTCTTATTGATCTCAGCAGTTCAATTATAAAGTGATTTAAATTGAGGGAAAATCCCAATTTCACATATACACTGATGAAATCTGAATTGTCTGCCCTGAGGTCATTACATCCTTGTGACAAATGTAAAAAGGCAGATTCTGTGCTAGGGAGCACTTGCAAAGAGATTTAAAATAAAACTGTCAAGATTGTATTGTATTGTATTGTAAGGTAGCATGATACCTTAACCGCTATAAGAGATATTTTCAGATTCCTTTGTAGCAGCTCTTGCTTCTTTTTGAAACTTCAATAAGAATTTAACATCTCATAAATAATACTATTAAGTGCAAAACTGAGATGGTCTTTTTCTTTTCTCCAAGGGATTCTCTGACGAAGTATATCGTGAGCGAAGGAAAATGATTGCAGAAATTGCTTTCCACTATAAGCAGTAAGACTTGCCACCTTTCCTACTGTTATCTCTATGTTTATTTCTCTAAACATAGTTTTACTTTTCTCCCTTGCCTGCTCCATCACTCCTTCTCTTTTGCAGTCTTCCATCTTGCTTGCAGTGTTCCATGTTTGCCAGTTGTGTGTGACACGATCTCTTCAATCCATTCACACATTCAAACTTGAATCAAATAACTGTAACCTAATTCTAAATTAGAGTATTGGTTACTCTCTTCTTAGAGCTGAAAGATATTCAGATTCGTGGCCACTTTTAATTAAAAAGAAGAAGGGGCAGCAAGCCAATTGTAAAACAAAGCACCATCCACAAGCACCATCTTTGTGTTTTAACAGTGCCACTTAAAAAAGGGTGCCGCTTACAGATCCCAAATCAGAAAGATGCTTTCAATCTGGTATGGGTGTACTCACGATAGCCCTTAGTGGGTGCTTTGGAAAACCTGCATATTTGTGTAGCTATGCAGTGCCAGGAAAATACACATTTTTTTAAAAAAATTGAGACAACATATTACCAAGAGAGCCTCCCACCCAATGGTGGCAGCTTCTTTAATGAACTGTTGATAGATGAAGCAAGCATCTCCATGCTGGCTTTGACATGGCTTTTTCATTTGGATCCAAATTCTAAACACCTTCACTCAGAGGCAGTCTTAGAAAAATGATAAATGATAGGTAACTGCAACCGGGTGTTTTGTTTTCCTTCTGGTGCATGAGTAACTTGGCAGCAGCTCTGCCCACTATGGCTGCCACAATCTCAAAATTCCAAGTGGCCCCTTGATTGATCTAGCATATAAATGAGTGCTTCTACTCACAGTGACCATATTTTCCTTGGGAAAAGGTAAAGGACAAACCTGAAAAAGGGGCAAATCTGAAAGAGGTTCATAGGGATTAAAAAAAAGTACTTTTGTTTATAATTTTGCTTTATAATGGAAAATTCAATGACAAAAACCAAGAAATTTAATAATTAAATAAATCTAAACGGTAGTTTTCTGAAACAAAGGGCTGTCCTTTATAATAAAATACATAGGTCATATAATATATATATACCCATATTAGAACTAGGTATTTTTATTGAATGATTAGTTTTGTGACTCTATCATCTCTCTTTTGTTTCAATCAATTGATGCCATTTAGTTTATAGTACTCTATAATCTAGAACAGTGGTGGCGAACCTATGGCATGGGTGCCAGAGGCATCACTCAGAGCCCTCTCTGTGGGCACGCGCACTGTTGCCCCAGTCCTAGGCCTTCAGCTGGGTTTTATAAAACCTTTTCGCTTTAGGCCTCCACCGCCGTGTGCAAAAAAAAAAAAAGGTTCAGTCAATTTCAACTTCTCGTGGGAAAAATAAAGATCTTGCAAAGTTGGAACTGATTGATTGAACTTTTTAGTCCCACCCAGTCTGCTGTTACCACCACAGCCATGCTCACCCAATGGGCCACACCCACCCAATAGGCCACACCCACCCAATGGGCCACACCCACCCAATGGGCCACCCTGCCCTGGCACTTGACGATGCGTAAGTGGGTTTTGGGTTGCAGTTTGGGCACTCAGTCTCTAAAAGGTTCGCCATCACTGATCTAGAATATGGTACTCTGTGACAGATTTCAGACATGACTGGGTAAGACTTAGTTAAATATTGCAGGACTGGTCTATACTATTTGCTACATTGTTATTTTTATGTACCCGCTCCTTGTATTTTTCTAACAGCGGAGACCCAATTCCTCGAGTTGAATACACAGAAGAGGAAATTACCACTTGGTAAGTGTGAAGGAACCTTTTCTAGATCTTTTCTTAGAGCCTTTCAGAAAAGCCAAATTACTTTTTCTAGCAGAACAGCTGTCTCATCATTTTCATCTGAATTCTTAAGATATCATTTGACCTGTCATCACTCTAGGTCTGAAGAAGATTCTTGCCCAGACATTTGCACTGTATTTTGATTTACGTTTTTATATGATTTAAACATCTCATGGTCTTCCACTTTAGTGTAGTGGTTAAGGTACCAAGCTAGAAATAAGATGCCTGTGAATTCTCTAAGTGTCAAGATGGATTCAAAGACATAATGATAATAAAATAAAAAAGTAAAATAAAATAATGTTTCAATCAACAATCCTAAACAGATTGCCAGAAATCTAAGGTAACTATTCTTTTTGATGCAAATATACTGGAAAGATATGAATAATACCATTTTTTTTGAAAGGAGGGAAGTGTATAGTACTTTGAAGAGTCTTTATCCCTCTCATGCCTGCAAAGAACACCTGGATGCTTTTCATTTACTGGAGAGGTATAGTGGCTATAGTGAAAACAACATCCCTCAGCTGGAAGATGTCTCTTGCTTCCTGAAAGGTAAATATGTGGTTATGTTTAGAGAACTGTACATTTTTATGGCATTAACCCTGCTTGAAGGTTTGCACCTCTGTGGTTTAACAGGGCTTTTCAACCAGTGGTACGGGTACACCTGTGGTACATTGGCACCTGGCAGGTGGTACATGACCATCCTAGAAAAGTGGTAGTGGGGGAGGGGAATGAGCTGAACCGGTGGCAGCACCGCACAAGCCTGAGCGAGAGATGGCTGGAGCTGCAGGCTGTCAGGGCTCAGCGGAAGCGCCAGGATCAGCGCCAGGCTCCAACTGGAGCTTGGCGCTGATCCTGGTGCTTCTGCTGAGCCCAGAAGAAGCACTGATCAGCTGTAATGTTGCAGCATCTCCAGGGTCTTGTGATTTACATTCAGATGCTTGGCAACTGATTCATATTTATGACGGTCACAGTGTCCCAGGGTTATGTGAAGTGACCAAAACCTGCTGCAACCACCCAGCAGATGGGGGGAATAAAAACCAAACACCCCCCACCCCATCTCTGCTGCCAATCCCCAACAGAAATGCTCACAACAATGAAAACCTCGGACAGGAGGAAGAGCGCCGCCGGGTGGGCAGGCAGGTGTCTTGCTCGGCTATGGCTTGGGGGCACTTTTTTCAGTGCCATTGTAACTTCGAACAGTCACTAAGTGAACTGTTGTAAGTCGAGGACTACCTGTACTTTATCACTTTTTTCCTTTTGTGGGAGGGTCGTCAAGTTTTTGACACCTTGCTAGGCCACTGGTGGTACTCGGATGTTGCCATATCCTAAAAGTGGTACAATGGATGAAAAGGTTGAAAAGCCCTGGTTTAATAGATTTGCTACCCAATTTCAGCAGTACTTCTGGGGGGGTGAAGGGCAGCACAGCAGAGTGACCATCCCTGATCTAAATATATAGGACCATGTTTAAAACTCAGAAGTACTGTCCCCTGAATCACAGAGATGGCACCTGGAAAACATCATTGCAAAACCATCCTGGGAATTTTCTGCAAATGAAAATAGCTATATAAAGTATATGTATTAAATTTTACTCTTTATCCAGGACAAAATCTATGAGACAGTATAAAACACTGTTCTCCAATCTCCATTCTGTATATTCATTTGCTATGCAAAATAAGCATTCAATTTAAGTTTTGCTGTCAGAAGAAAATGCTCTATAATATTCTAGGTCATACCTCCTTGGTCAGGTACAGAAAATTTGCCAAGGTTTGGCAAAGTACACTGTTCATAAAAACATCAAAATATAATTATGGTTTCTTCAAGAGGGAGTTCAAGAGGAAGCATCCAAACTGCTCTGTAAAGATGCTCAGTAGAGGTGGACATCCATAAGGCTATTGTCCTTCCAAAGAAAAAGGATGCTTGAGGAATCCATTCTTTGCTAATCTTGAGAAGAAGGAATCTGCTCCACCTTTTCTGGATTAATGTGTAGATCCAAAGAATTTGTGGTGACTCAAATCTCATTTGTCAATTGATTTCCCAACAGACATTATAGGATTCCATCAATAGAAATAAATTTTCCAATAATGATATACGGTAGATCTGGAATGAATAGACTTCCAAAAGAATATGTACAAAATTAATAAAGACTAGAAAAAGACCAGAGCGGCCATCCCCAGTAAAGAGATCTTCTAAATAATAACCAAAAAGATCTCAATTCAAAATTGATGCCTGCAGGAGATCAGTGGTTTCTGCAGATCATAGTGATTTCAAGAGATTCCTGGGTTGAAGAGATTATTTATAGAAAGTTCCACATTTTTCCCAAAACTTTTGTTCAAAAATCAGAAACCTGTAGTTAACAATATAACTTGGATCATTTGGCAAGACAGCAAATATTCAGACTATTTTACAGAAAAAAAAATTAAAAATACACTCACAGGAAATATGTATGATAAATGCAAGTATTCTTTTGTAAAACAAAATAATCCTAATTCTTAAAAAAAGGAGAAGTATATGATACATGAGAATGTATTTATAAGTACATTGATTATAGACATTATATAAAATTGTATTATTTGTATCATATTTCTAAAAATGGACAAGCTAGAGTTTATGCTTATTCACGTCTACTGCAGTTGAGATATTTAAATTTATTTATCACCAAACTACTTATGAATAGTTGGTTGTTTTGTTTTTAAGATAGAGCCAGCTCCATAAAACTCAGCACTGGATGTACCAGTATAACACAAAGTGCAGAACTAAACAGTAGGGCTGTTCATGCTTTGATAATGATTAAGAATAAATGTTTCCATTACCGTAGACCTGACTGTTTTCAGACTTACTCGAAAGCCTGCACCCCCACACCAAAAAAGTTGTGGCTGTTTTAAAAGAAATCAAATCATTGAAGTTAATGTGATCTTTAAAGCAGCCACAATTTTTGTTAGGCCTTGTGCAAGATCCAGAGCACTTCTCCCAAGTCACATTTGAAGCACATAGAGCCTTACTTTGATAAGACCCAGTTAAGCTCTTAATGTTTGTCATTTCTTAAATGATACAAGTAAATATAAAAGGTGGTTTGGATTGTTTCAGAGAGAACTGGGTTCCAACTCCGACCAGTAGCTGGCCTTCTCTCAGCTCGGGATTTCTTAGCCAGTTTAGCCTTCAGGGTGTTTCAGTGCACACAGTACATCCGCCATGCTTCTTCTCCCATGCACTCTCCAGAGCCGTGAGTACCATCTCATAGAATTGGCTTCTTTAGTGCTTGACTTGCTATTTCAGAGTCAGAGGAGACAGAAAAACAATGGCTGTTTTTCTTTCCAAAGGGACTGCTGTCACGAACTTCTGGGGCATGTACCAATGTTGGCTGATAGGACATTTGCACAGTTCTCTCAGGTGAGCAAAAGGTGTGCTGAAGGTACAAACTTTACTTTGCCACTAGAGCAGCCATTGGCCATACTGACTGGGATGATGGCAGTTGAAAAATAACTCAACCAGAAGGTGCTCCCAGATCAAAGAAGCACCCTTTTAAAAAATGACATTTTCAGCTGCCAAAATACATAAGGGACGTGATGATATTATCCGTTCAGTCATGTCTGACTCTTGGGAAATCTATGGGCTAAGTCTCTCCACATCTTCAGCGCTTGCACTACTTCTTTGAGTTGTTCTATGCTCTGACTGATGTCCAGTCAGTTTGATAGTGTCCAGCCACTATGTTCTTTGGCAGCCTGGTTTCCTTTTACCACTAACTCTTTCAAACATAATTGCTTTCTCCAGTGAATTCCTCCACATGACATGGCCAAAGTAAATGAGATGCAGTTTTGTGATTTTGCCTTCACATAAGGGAACATAGCATTGTCAAAGGTGGATTTTCAAAAATATATATATATCCATTGTGAGATTGGCTTAAGGGGGTTAAGATTGGGTGAGCTTTAATGCACCTAGTACCTTTACTTCTCATACTGAAAGGTTGTTTTTTTTAAAAAATGCCCAACTCTTTTCCAGATTGCTTATTTAGGTGCCTACCAAAAGTGGGCAACCCATAGGCCACATATATCCCCTGACACCTAATATGTGCCCTCCTCATGCTTGGCAGCTTATTGTTGAATGACAGTGTTAAAATAACCAAATATTGTTATGGTTTAAGTTTTGCCTATCATACTTTTAGCATTATAGTCACTCAGTCACTTAGCTGATTTCAGCTAAAAGGAAGCCCTGGTGGTGCAGTGGTTAGAATGCAGTATTGCAAGCTAACTCAGCCCACAATCTGGAGTTCAATCTAGATACTGTATATTGCTCAGAGATGGTTCAGATAGAGCTATAAAGCACTATGGGGTATTATATAAGTCTAAGTGCTATTGTTAAAAAGGAATGATACTTTGCCAAATATTGGTGCAACACCAACTTCTAAAATAATGATTTGGGGCATGGATAAGATTGAGAGTGGAGATGGAAGTAGTTTCTATTTCCATTTCTACTAAACCCCTCTTTGCCTCCCCCCCCCAAGAGTGCTAATAGTCATCACCATTGTAGGTAATATCACTGTAACACCTAATGGCCTCATAGACTTTCTGGAAACTTAGAAGGTAGAATTGTGCCCCAACCCTTTAAATGTTGCCTGCTTCTGTCCTAGACATTCTTAAATAGAATTTTCCCCTTTATGTTTAATCAAAATCTCATTTCTTATCATTTCCCCCATTTGTTCTTGTTCAGCAACAGAAAATGAATCTAATCTATCTGCTGCAAAGTTTCCCTCATTGGATGGTTTTCCTTTTGCTTCTAGGACATTGGACTTGCATCTTTGGGTGCAACTGATGAGGAGATTGAAAAACTTGCAACAGTAAGTTCTTAATTCTAGGATACAAAGATAGAGCGTAATTATCTCTGTGAAATTCTGCTCTCTCTATACTGTATATCTTGATTGTAAATGTTGATATGAAATGCCAATATTGGCTATGCTAATCAGGAATTCTAGGAATTGTAGCCAATATAGCTGGCAGGGCCCAAATTGGGGTAGAATAATCCGGTATAGGTTTTCAATAAAGGAGCAGAAAATAATATTATTAGTAGACATAATAAACATAACAAAGAGAAAACAAACACTGACTTCTAAGAACAAAGAAAAATGGATTTTTTCCCCTCAGAAGAGCTTCTAGTTAACTTCCCAAATGCAATGCAAAAAAGGAACAGATGCAATATAAAAACCCCAAATTTATCTGTCTAATATGGAAAAGAAAATGCTAACTATTTTGAATCACTATTTTTGTTTTCCATCCCATTTTTCTCTGTAGCTTTATTGGTTTACGGTGGAGTTTGGGCTCTGCAAGCAAAATGGAATCATTAAAGCCTATGGAGCTGGCCTCCTCTCTTCCTATGGAGAGCTCATAGTAAGTGTTGCCCCATCTATCTCTATCCAGCTAAACTGAAGCAGCTGCTTCTGAGCTTGGGTGTCCCTATTCGGTCCATCAAGTTATTCTTGCTACAGTAATCGCCTTATGGGGTTCTCCTGCTTCTCCCTCCTTTCCTTCATTTAGCACTCTTTGTCCGATGAACCAGAACTACGGGACTTTGACCCTGATGTTACGGCCATGCAACCCTATCAAGATCAGACCTATCAGCCTGTTTATTTCGTATCAGAGAGCTTTAATGATGCCAAAGCTAAACTCAGGTAAGAATTATAATTGGACATATCATTGGAGAGTGGGGATGTCTAGTTACACCAATGCAGAGTTTTGATTGCTACAGATTATGAATGATTTCTTTTTTAACCAAATCATTACATGAAAGCTTTTCCTCACAACAAAGATTTTTTTAAAAAAACCTTTTTACTGTTGCTTTTTAAATGAAATCTAAATTACAACATTGCTAAACGTGGGATAAATGAAATTTATTCTGATTGTATATGTATATGCATTTACGACTGACTTGTTGATTTACTTCTTTGTTAATTTATTTTTACTATCATTCACTGTTCTTCAGCAGGATAGCAGACATAAAGGACTGAGAACATCAAAGCATAAAATATATACAACATTTTAAAATATTTTAAAATACATTATATGCAGTGGTGGGATTCAAATATGTGAACAACCGGTTCTCTGTGTGGATGCCGCTTCTGGAAGTCCATTCTGGGCCTGGGCAACAAAAAATTAGCTACCGGTTCTGCTGAACTGGTGTGAACTGGCTGAATCCCACCACTGATTACATGACTATTCCATTCAATAGCACTTATAGATATGTATGCATAAGACTGTAACTGATCACTTCCAAAGAGACATGCTCTTTCCAGAATAACTCCTGCGTCCATATAGAGCAGGGGTGTCAAACTTGCAATGTCACGTGATGTGTTGCGACATATGGCGACTTTTTTTCCCCATTGCTGGCAATGGGGTGGGTGTGGTTTCAGCATGATGCATCCGGCCTATGGGCAAGCAGTTTGACACCCCTGATTTAGAGACATCTGATGAGACATCTAGAAATATCTAACTAGTGAGTGAAGACTTGAATAGCCTTGATAGTGAAATAGATGCTTAAGAAATTATGAAAATTCTAAAATAGATGCTTAAGAAATTATGCAAATACAGGTAACTGTATTATAAATCACTATAATGATATGATCTTTTAGATATTCAAACATTTGCAACATGGATCTCACATTTCATCAGGAATAAATGCTAGTTGCATTATAATGGGTTATGGAATTAGACTGCAATAATGCGAATTACCACTGGATCACAGCAAACTCTTGGTTGTCATTTAGTTAACAACTGATACCCACATTAACCAGGGTATCTACAGGAGTGCATCTCTCCAAATACTACAGTGTTCTCAAAAGATTCAGTGAAACTTGATTTTCAGTAGGTTGCTGTTACAAATTATACAGTACATTGACTCATTAAAGATCCCAGGAAGTTTGTGTTAGGGAAAAAAGTAATATTCCATATGTTTTCATTTCCACCAATATTTTTAAAGAGGAAGATAAGAAGTGTATATGAGTGAAATATATGTACAGGAAAGAACTCCAACGGGATGATCCATACAGCTCCTCTCTTAACTGGTGAAGATACACTAACTGGAGCCAGATTTTTCAAAGACCATTCTCATCATTTCTTCTAAAGACAATATTTGTACACAGCAGCCAAAGATAAATCTAAATATCAGTATGAACTAGTGATCAAAGGCAAGTCACCCAGTAACACAAAAGAGGGGATTTGCCTGGCTGGTTTTTTGGGACGACTTAATATTATTTCTCAAAGCCACTAGATGGTGCCATAACATAAATAATCTGGAATTATTAGCTTCCCTTTAGAGTTCCTTCTTTGCCATAGAAGATTCTGTGGGCTACATCTGCAACAGATATATAGATAAAGCTTCATCAGAGGATGAGGGAAAAGGGCATACAATATCATCCCAGCCAAAAGGTTTTTTTTTCCAAATAAGAGTGATTGTAACTATATGTACATGTGCAATTAGCAGATAAATTTTCCAGCTCAGCCTGGTCACTTAATTTTTAAAGTGTGTGACTTAAAATTCTGCACCTGCTGAGCTTCTAAGCTTCTAGCCTTTTTGCTATTTACAACAACAACAACAACAACAACAGCAACAACAACAGCAACAACAACAGCAACAACAACAACAACAACAACAACAACAACAACAACAACAACAACAACAATAATAATAATAATAATAATAATAATAATAATAATAATAATAATAATAATAATAATAATAATAATAATAATAATAAAGTTGGAAGGGACCTTGGAGGTCATCGAGTCCAACCCCTGCTCAGGCAGGAACCCTACACCATTTCGGACAGTTCAGTGGCTTCCATCCTTGGTCACAAAGTGGCCAGCTATTTTCAATTGTAGCTTTTGGCTCTATTGAAATACATTGCCAATACATCATCTTTGATATTAGCTGACCTTCGGCAAGCAAGGGACCTGTCGCTTGTTTAGTTCACCTAAGCGTAATGTTTTTTTGTTTTTTAAAAAAAATCTCTGTGACGTAATCAAAAAATTATAAAACGTACTGAAATTTATTGAACAAAAAGTGGAAATTTATTTCTATTTTATATATAGCATGTAGAGATTCCAGCTTGCTTAAAATGAACTTATACTTAGGCAAAGGGCAGGGATGAGTTTAGTTAAATGTTGTATATTTTTAGACTAAAAAAATGTAAGGTTCAACTAAATTAAATGTAGTTGAACCTTATATAGTTAATGATTCTTGACAACATTTACCCTTTGCGCCCAGATTAATTCCCATAGTCCTAGAGAACATCAAACAGAGCTGCCATAATGCTAGACCAGGGGTCTGCAACCTTGACAACTTTAAGACTTGTGGACTTCAGCTCCCAGAATTCCTCAGCCAGCTGAAGTCCACAAGTCTTAAAGTTGTCAAGGTTGCAGACTCCTGTCCTAGGCAATAAATGGCTGTGTTGTTCTCCAAGGTCCAGGCTAAGGAATGCTGCTTTATGCAATATGCCTTTCATTGCTTCCTTATCTCTTAACATTTTTAGTAGCCCCACCTACATTACCATCTTTGATGTCTACCCTCTTCTTTTCAGGGTCTATGCAGCACATATCAAGCGGCCTTTTTCTGTGAAATATGATCCTTATACCTACAGTATTGAGCTCTTGGACCGCCCACAGAAGATCTGCCACTCCTTGGCAAATGTGCGTGATGAGCTCCACTCATTAATTGATGCACTCAACATTATCAGCTAACACAAGATTTGGATGTCCCCCCCCTTTTTCCCCCCTCCAAGCCAATGTCTTTTTCTGTACGTGCAAATTTGGTTTCCTGCCATGGCTACTACAATCACTGCACAGTGTTTGGGCCAATAACGGCACTATGATTTTTTGTAGGGTTTTGTGTTGCTGTCTCTTGCCACAATAATACCTATGGTGTGAATTGTGCCACATGTGCCGTGGTATGGAGGCATTTTAGTGACAAGCTTGGTTGAAGAAAGGGAAGTAAATGAAGCTTAGGAGTTTAATCCTGAGTCCCTTGGGTATTTTTTTTAATTTATCAATAGCGAGGGATCTGGATTGGACAAATGCCATAAGAAATAATTGCACAGCACACTGTAAATTCCCCTTTAAAGAAAAAGAAAAGCAATGTGTTCCCTAAACGTTCCCCAAATTATATTTTTAAAATTATTTAAAATACGAGAGATAAGCACAGAAGAGACCAAATAGTTTTTTTACACTACCAGGCTCAAAACAGTTTAACTCCACTTTCTGAAACTCAGTTCTGCTCACTTCTGCCCCCCTTGGAAATGAGAAGAACAGCACCCAAATCAAGAGAGAGAGAGAGAAAAGTTTTAACTTTTGTATTTCTGAGGAAGGCTTCCATTAAATATCTTGGACAATTTACTAGTTTATTATATGCTCCATGTTTTTTTTTCTCTCTCCCCTCCTCCCCCACCTTGTAATTTTGCAATATCTTCTATGGCTTTGTTTTTCCCAGAAAGACCAAACATTCCATTAGTAATTCTCTGTTATGAGCAGAATTCTCCCAGCTCTTTTGCTTAAATGATTTCAGACAGGTACAAGCCTCAGGGGCCTTGTCCCACACGCTAAGATCCGACTAGTAACAGGAGCTCTGAAGAATTCCGAGGGATGACTCAGAATAAGGCCCAATGAACTTTTCTCATCTGACTGGAACATCTTTCTCATCATCTCTAATCTTTCCATCTGGGAAAAATTCTTCCAGGATGAGCCAAGTTTTGACTAATGCACATTGGCTACAGTTCTCTGAAGGCTTGTTTTGTGGCCCCATGAAACTCAGTGGAATCTCTTGCCAAGCCTGTGATGAAGAGAAGCATCGGCTTCTCAAGTCAAAACAAGGTCCAGCACCTATCAACAACCTGAGCTGACCCAGATCAGAGTCACATCTGCAGTGCTGCTGATGCTACCATGTCTCCGCAGCAATTTTTAACTCTGCAACCCATCATGCTGTGTTACCAGACAGGTACTATCCAGAGCTTGGCAAATAGGGAGTGTGGATTAGAGTAAATCCAGGTTCAGGTCTGTCCCCATTAGTGCCACTTACAGTAAGAACGATGCTCCTTGGGAAACCTATATGAGATAAATGTTTTCTGCTACAAGCAGAAAAATCCACAGGATCGAGGATTAAGTCTTCTGAACTCTTAGACCCTTGGCAGCAACCATCTGTCCACAAACCTAGAGTGCTGTGTTGGGTAGAATGAATAGCAGGAAATGGCTAATGGATAATAATTCTCCATGTTAAAAGTGCTGATCTTGCTCAGCTGATTTCTAATACCTTTTCCTCCTCTGAGGATGAAAGTGAGTGATGAAATGTGTGGCATAACATCTTGGCACAACGTCTTTGACTTATGTACTTGCATCAGGGCTTTGGCTTGAGATGTCACGTTGCACATTTGGTCATTATTATTATTATTTTGGTTAATATGGCTTGCACGTCTGTCTAAAAAAACAGCCCTTGATTGCTTGAATGGTTTAAAACAGTGGTTCTCAACCTTTTTAATGCCGCGACCCCCAACCGGTCGTAAGTTGAGGACTAAACCAGTCGTAAGTTGAGGACTAAACCGGTCATAAGTCGAGGACTAAACCGGTCGTAAGTCGAGGACTACCCAACCGGTCGTAAGTCGAGAACTTTCCCTGCCCGGGAGCGCAGCGCATGCGTGGTTCCGCCCCCTGCGCCGGCCGAGGCGTAGCTGGCAAGCGGCAGAGACGGAGCAGGCCGACCACCAGCTGGCCCAGCCCAAGGGAGGTAAGGCACCCACTGGAAAAGGGGAAAAAATGGCAGACAGCCTTGCTTGGCGACCCCCGTGAAATGGTCAATCGACCCCAAATGGGGTCGCGACCCATAGGTTGAGAACCGCTGGTTTAAAAGGTCCCAAAATGGCTCCTGTGTCTGACCTCAGCAGGCCTACCTAAAGTGAGAGAAGAACCAAAGAGGACCACAACGGTGTGATGACTAACATATTCAGTCTGCAGTTTCCCTGTTCTGTTTAGTTCTTAGACTATTGACTTCAGGGCTACAATGCCTAGCCTAATTGTAGGGCATTTCTGTTCCTTACCCTTGCTCCTTGTGCCCTTCACCTGAACAACAACATAACAAAAAAAAAATAGACCACACTTTATTGAAACTGTAGCTTGATCGTGAATAGTGCAACATGGCTAGCTGGTTTCCAACCTCAGGCCTGAATGGGCATCTCAACATTTAAGTATGATATTGTTCCAGTACTTTATAAGCCTTCTGTCGCCCTATATAGACTTTAACAATGCTGAAATGCACTGATAGCACTCTGCTTAGGGAGCAAGAAATGCCCAGATGTGTCTTAGAACTATCAGGACATAAAACTTTTCATTTTAAGACACTTCCTGTTCTAAAGTTCTGTCTATTAGAGTGGATGAAAAAAAAAGAAGCTGGGTCACTTGAGAAACTAAATAGACATTATATTTTTTGAAAAAGAAAGAACATTTAACCATGTAGCTTATAGGATTTCTGTTTTCATTTTTCAGACCAGAAAATGTATAAATATATCCATTCAACATGAATAGGGAATCATTTCTAACAACCTTGGTTAGGGATACGTACACCTAATTAAAAAAATTCTCTATGGCTAACTATTCAGATCAGTTGAAATCTTCATCAACTGAAATAGATTTAGGTGTATTGTATACTTCCAAGGTAGTTCAGGTCTCATAAACATTCTATGCATCTACAGCACCATATTGGTTGAATACAAATTATGATTCCCCCAAATCCTAGAATATTTTTTACTTATGATAATAGCTAACTACATGAATGTGACAAAAACCTTGCTACCTATTCTATTTTTTTTCCAACTTATTTGATCCAGATTGAATAATTCCCAACACCTCAAGCTAACAATTGCAATAGTGACTGATGATGATAGCAGTTTCAATCCACAAATCTGAAAATGAATATGTCTGAATATGGTCTCTATATTCTATGAAGCTATGTGGAACAAGGATGCCTTGAAATGTCCTGTAGAATGGCAAAAGTAGTCAAAACATTCTTCCTGGTGAGGAAAGTCACTGGTTGAATTTCTTCCTGTTGAAAGTGAGACTCAACAGAACAATGAAGAGATGCTTCCTTTTTTTTGTCTTGCTTGGGAATATTTCATGATACTTTTGTATGTGTCTGCCACACAGCTTGAAAGAACAGGTGCCAATACTATTGCTGCTGTTGCTGCTGCTATGTGAAGTGGATCTGTTTCTCTTGCTCCATAAATAATATATTTGTTTCTCATGCAGCTGCTGCTGATTTGCTATGAATAAAATCATATTTCTGGGCGTGCATCTTTCATTTGTCTTCCTGAATTCACCTGCCATGATTGTCTTATTTTTAATGTGCTGATTTCAGAACGGCTGTTTCTGTCATAGCCATACTTAGAGAAGCACCAAAATAACAAAGTATCTCATGAAAGTAAGCAGTTTATTATTGCATAAAGTTTCATAAATCACACTAGCTTTAATTCAGTTTCTCTTGAGCAGTAGCAATTAGTTAATTACTTTTTTTCAGCCATTCAATGTTGAAAAGGGACTTTGGAGTTATGCATTCAGATGGACGGTGCAGACTGCAGTAGACTACATTCATCATACAGTTCATTAAGCTCCATATCCAATATGATCCATAAAAAAATATTTGCTGGGTAAACTTTCAGAGAACTTAAATTCCATTCAATTCAAAGATGAAGGCTCTTTGGTTCAGCTAGCCTTTGGTTTCTGTATGTCCAAAGCTGCCTTCCAATAGTCATGGCCAACCCTTCTGTTCTGACTTGATTGTCAAACACAACTGTGATATTGCACACTAATTTATGTTCCAATGAAATGTATGTTGAACAGTGACCTATACCTTTTACATGTTGCCTAGAATATTCTACGGTAGTCATAAACCTTCCCCACATCACTATTATGAGACCAACACATTTCTGTTTCCTGCATATTCATAGTAACAACAACAGTACATTCGTCTGAATTGTTTTATTGGCCAGTGTCTATTCCCCCAATACACTCCAACAGTAATTCATAGTGCAATTACTTCTTTTCCCACTATTATCACAATTTGCATGAATCATCAGTTGTATTACTTCCTCAGCAGTAGGGCTAAATTGTAAAAGAAAGTCCTACAAATGGTATTGATCTATGGTTGCTGTTTCATGGGAAACTGCCAAAAAGTCTGAATGGTCTAGTTGCACTTTGATTCATGCTTCATTTTCCTGTTCTACAAGATGTCCCAGTGCTTGTGGATTCAGAGAGAAGCAGAAGTTTATTGTGCAAGGTCAAATTCATTCCCAATGTAGGTGGGGAAAAAAGTTGGCATAATCCTGGGGAACTTCAAGACCGAGCAAGTAACCACACAACCAAAAGCCCATCCATTAATATTAGCAATGGTACAAAAACGCTGATTAATCAAGAAAGAGATGTACGGAAGCCGATTACTATTTATCCATATCAACCTGTAACAAGAATATCCCACAAAATAGATAAGATAGAGGTAAGGTGAGAGAGAGGGGTGTGTGTGTGAAAAAAATCAATATCTCCGTTCTGCTCTATGCAGGTTCCTATGGATGTCTCTGTTTTCTTTGGCTTGTAAATAACCTCAGCCTTCATCTAGATCAGAGGTCCCCAACCTTTTGGGCACCAGGGACCAGTTACGTGAAGAGTGGTTTTTCCGTGGACCAGAGGGTGTGTGGTTTTGTGTGCTG